GTCCCCCCCGGTGTCCCCTGTCCCCCCTGATGTCCCCCCCGGTGTCCCCAGGCTGGTCCTGCGCCGCCTGTACCCCTTGGCCATCCGGATCTGCGAGTTCCTGCGGCTGCCGGAGATCCAGGGCGTCAGCCGCATCCTGGCACACTGGGCCTGCTACAAGGTCAGGGGGCTACCTGCTCCGGGGGCTGGGCAACCCCCTGGGGACACCTGGGGACACTGCCTGCTGGCCCCACAGGTGCAGCAGAAGGACAAGTCTGACGAGGAGGTGGCCCAGGCCATCAACCAGAAGCTGGGGGACACGGCGGGCATCTCGTACTCGGACATCGCCACGCGCGCCTACGACTGCGGCCGCACCGAGCTGGCCATCAAGGTAGCCCGGGGGGCACTGAGCTGGCCATCGAGGTGGGCACTGGCCCAGGGAACACACAGGCTGGCCATCAGGGTGGGAGCTGGCCCAGGGGTCACCTGAGCTGGCCATCGAGGTGGAAACTAGCCCAGGGTGTCCTTGGGTGGCCATCAGGGTGGGCACTGGCACAGGGCATCCTGAGCTGGCCATTGAGATGGGAACCAAGCTGGCCATCGAGGTGGGCACTAGCCTGGGGGGGACCCGAGGTGGCCATGAGGGTGTTCAGTGGCCCAGGGGGTTCACGGGGTGGCCATCAGGGTGGGCACTGGCCCGGGGGGACCTGAGCTGACCATCAAGGTGGGCAATGGCCCAGGGGGTCCTGAACTGGCCATCGAGGTGGGCACTGTTCCAGGGGTGTCCCGAGGTGGCCATGAGGGTGTTCAGTAGCCCAGGGGGGACCCGAGGTGGCCATGAGGCTGTTCAGTGGCCAAGGGGGGACCCGAGGTGGCCATGAGGCTGTTCAGTAGCCCGGGGGGGTCCCTGGTGGCCACCCCCGGTGCCAGCTGTGCCCCCACAGCTGCTGGAGTACGAGCCCCGCTCGGGCGAGCAGGTGCCGCTGCTGCTGAAGATGAAGCGCAGCAAACTGGCCCTGGGCAAGGCCATCGAGAGCGGGGACACCGACCTGGGTGAGGGGACAGCAACGGGCTGGGGAAGGATTCGAGGTCTTTGGGCAACCTCTTGGGAACGTTTTGGGATCATGGGGAGCCCCTTGGAATCATTTTGGGGTCGGAGGGAGCCCCTTGGGAAAGTTTTGGGGTTGGGGCAAGCACTCTGGGAGAATTACGGGGTCTGGGGGAGCACCTTGGGATCATTTTGGGGTCTGGGAGAGCACTTTGGGAATGTTTTGGGGTCTGGGGAAGTGCTTTGGGATTACTTTGGGGTCTGGAAGAAGGCTTTGGGGAGATTGTGGGGTCTGGGAGAACACCTTGGGAATGTTACAGGGTTGAGGGAACACGTTGGGAATGTTTTTGGGGATCTGGGGGAGCCCCTTGAGAGTATTTTGGGGTCTGGGAGAGCCTTTTGGGGACATTTTGGGGTCTCTGGGGAGCACGTGGAGGGTCGGGGGGGTGCAGAGATGCAGAAAAAAAACCCGACCCAAATCCTTCTGTGCCCCCACAACCCCACTGTCCCCCCTGTCCCCAATCCTGTCCCCAATGCTGTCCCTGTCCCTGTCCCCAGTGTACACGGTCGTGCTGCACCTCAAGAACGAGCTGAACCGCGGCACTTTCTTCATGACCCTGCAGAACCAGCCCGTGGCCCTCAGCCTGTACCGCCAGGTCAGCACCCCAAAAACACCCTGGGCACCCCAAAACCAGCCTGGGCACCCCAAAAACACACTGAGCACCCCAAAACCAGCCTGGGCACCCCAAAACCAGCCTGGGCACCCCAAAAACAGCCTGAGAACCCCAGACACCCCTGAGCCCCCCCAAAACTGCCCTGGGTGTCCCCTTGACCCCCAAGATGTCCCTTGACCCCCTGAGTGTCCCTCAGCCCCCCAAAGTGTCTCCCAATCCCCCAAAGTGTCCCCCTGACCCCCAAGATGTCTCCCACCCCCCCGGGTGTTCCCCTGATCCCCAAGATGTCCCTCACACCCCCAGGGTGCCCCCCAGCTCCCCAAAGTGTTCCCCTGACCCACAAGGTGTCCCCCACCCCCCTGGGTGTCCTCCTGACTCCCAAAGTGTCCCTTGACCCTCAAAGTGTCCCCTTGACCACCAAGATGTCCCCCACACCCCAGGGTGTCCCCCAGCCCCTCAAAGTGTCCCCTTGACTCCCAAGATGTCTCCTGACCCCCTGGATGTCCCCCCGGATGTCCCCTGGGTGTCCCCCTGACCCCCTGGATGTCCCCTGGGTGTCCCCTGGATGTCCCCCTGCCCCCCTGGGTGTCCCCTGGGTGTCCCCTGACCCCCTGGATGTCCCCCTGATGCCCCCAGATGTCCCCTGGGTGCCCCCCGGGTGTCCCCCGCGTGTCCCCTGGGTGTCCCCTGCCCCCCAGCTGTGCTGTCCCCGCAGTTCTGCCGGCACCAGGAGCGGGAGACGCTGAAGGATTTGTACAACCAGGACGACAACCACCAGGAGCTGGGCAACCTGCACGTGCAGGGGGGCTACTGCCAGCAGGTGGGGTTGGGATTGGGGATGGGGTGGGGATTGGGGAATCGGGATTGGGGAATTATTCAGGATTGGAGAATTTGGGATTGGGGAATTCGGGATTTGAGATGGGGGAATTCGGGTTTGGGAATTTCAGGATTTAGGATGGGGAATTAGGGATTGGGGATGGGGGAATGCAGGATTGGGGCTCTGGATTTGGGACTGGGGCATTCCCAGTTTGCACCCCAGGGCTGTGGGGGACTGTGCCCATCCCATGCCATGTGTGCCAGGAGGTTGGGATCCCACCCAGGGGGTCAGGATTCCACACAGGGAATGATGGGACCATGCCATGTCCCCGTGCCATGTCCCCGTGCCATGTCCCTGTGCCATCTCTGTGCCATCTCTGTGCCATGTCCCCGTGCCATGTCCCCGTGCCATGTCCCCGTGCCATGTCCCCGTGCCATCCCTGTGCCATTCCCAGCGGATCGAGGGCCGTGTGGCTGCCCTGCAGAACGCCCTGGACGAGTTCTACAAGGCCAAGAACGACTTTGCTGCCAAGGTGAGAGTGCCCAGGTGCCACGGGGGACACCGGGGACAAGGGGGATACCAGGGACAAGGGGGCACCAGGGACAAGGTCACCTGTCCCTGCCCTGGGGACAAAACTGTCTGGGTGGGTGGCTGACTGTCCTGGCTGTCTAGGGCCATGGCTGGAATGGGGACATCGAGGCTGGGACAGGGACCCCAAAGCTGGGATGGGGACCCCAAGGCTGGAATTGGGACATTGAGGCTGGGACAGGACTAGGACAGAGATCCTGAGGCTGGAACTGGACTGACATGGGGACTGTGGGGTGGGACAGCCACCCCAAGGGTGGGACAGGGACATCAGGGCTGGGATGGGGATCCTGGAGCTGAGATGGGGACACTGAGGCTGGGACAGAACTCTGGGGCTGGGACAGGACTGGGACAAGCACCCAGGTGCTGGGCCAGGGACACCAAGAGTGGGTCGAGGACCTCGGGGCTGGGATGGGGACACAGGCTGGGAACTCCAGGGCTGGGACAGGGACCCTGAGGCTGGAATTGGGACATTGAGGCTGGAACAGGGACAACAAGGCTGGGATGGGGATCCTGGGGCTGAGATGGGGACATTGAGCCTGGATCAGGGACCTCAGGGCTGGGCCAGGGACTCTGGGGCTGGGCCAAGGACACGGAGGCTGGGCCAGTGACCGCAGAGCTGGCCCGGTGGCCCAGGCCACGGAGGAGCAGATCAAGCTGCTGCGGCTGCAGCGGCACCTGCAGGAGGAGCTGGACAAGCCCTACCTGGACCTGTCCCTGCACGACACCGTGGCCACCCTCATCCTGGACGGGCACCACAAGCGAGCTGAGCAGCTCTACAGGGACTTCAGGATCCCGGACAAGAGGTGGGGGTGGGCTCAGTGGGGTTTTGGGGGGCTCCAGGGACAGCCCTGACCCCCTGTGCCCAGGTACTGGTGGCTGAAGATCAACGCCCTGGCCACCCGCGGGGACTGGGAGGAGATGGAGAAGTTCTCCAAGAGCAAGAAGTCGCCCATTGGGTACCTGGTGAGAGGCAGTCACCCCCTCATTGTCCTGCCAGCATCTTCCTCCCCATTCCAGCCCTCCCATCCTCTTCTTCCCCTCCCTGCCCTCCCATCCTCTTCCTCCTTCTCTAGTTCTCACTTCCTCCTCCTCCCAATTCCAGCTCTCCCATCCTCCTCCAGACCTTCCATCCTCTTCCTCCCCATTCCCACTCTCCCATCCTCTTCCTCCCCATTCCAGCTCTTCCACACTCTTCCCTCTCCAGTCCTCCTATCTCCCTCCCTTCTCTAACCCTCTCACCCTCTCCCTCCCCTCTGCATGTTTCCCATCTTCTTCCTCCTCTCTCCTCCCCTCCCATCCTCTTCCTCCCCTCTCTATCTCTCCTGTCCTCTTCCTCTCTCAGCTCTTCCATCCTCTTCCTCCTCTTTCCATCCTCTGCCTCTTCTCCCCTTCTCCCCTGCTTTTCCTCCCCTCCCTGACCCTCCCATAGTCTTCCTCCCCTCTCCATCTCTCCCATCCTCTTCATCTCTCAGCTTTCCCATCCTCTTCCTTCCCATTTCAGCTCTTCCACACTCTTCCGTCTCTGACCTCCCTATCCTCTTCCTCCCCTCTCCATTTCTCCCCTCCTCTTCCTCCTCTCCCCAGCCCCTCCCTCCTCCTCTCCCCCTTCTCCCCTGCTCTTCCTCACCTGTCCCCGCTGTCCCTCCCTCCCCAGCCCTTCGTGGAGGTGGCGGTGAAGCACCACAACCGCTACGAGGCCAAGAAGTACGCGCCGCGTGTGCCGCCCGAGCAGCGCGTCAAGGCCTTCGTCCTCGTGGGGTGCGTGCTGGGGGGACACCCTGGGGACACTGGGGGACACTGGGATGTGACAGCGCACAGCTGGGATGTGGCAGAGCACAGCTGGGATGTGGCAGAGCACAGAATTGCCTCCACGGCGGGAGCATTTGGTGGGGGGGGGTGGGTGTGACGCCGGTGCGGACAGCGGGGTGGTGGCACAGCGGTGACACCCTGGCGGTGGCCTCTGTCCCCGTGCTGTCCCCACACGGCTCTGTGGCTCTGCAGGGACCTGGAGCAGGCGGCCGAGGCGGCCATCGAGCGCAAGAACGAGGCCGAGATGAGCCTGGTGCTGGCGCGGTGCTCGGCCGGCACCGACGGCGCCGTGGCCGAAAAGCTCAACCGGGCACGGGCACAGCTCCTCAAAAAGTGACCCCCAAACCCTGGGGACACTCCCTGGGACACTCCTCATGCTCCTCGTCCTCGCTGGATGGCGAAGGTGGCCACGCTGGGGACGTGGTGGTCCCCTCGCTCCTTGTGCAATAAAGAGAAGAGCTCCGTGTCCTGTGTCACCAAGGAGGGGCCTGGGGGCTTTGGGGACAGCGGGGTGGGGTGGGAGGGGACAAACAGGGGACACACGGTTCCAGGGGTCTGGAGGGGGAGGTCACTGGGTGTCCCCAGGGGTCACTTTGGAGGATATTGAGGGGTCCCTGGGGGGGACATTGAGGGGACAGTGGGAGGTCCTTGGGAGATCATTGGGGGCATAGTGGAGGGATATTGAGCGGATCACTGGGGGGGCATTGAGGGGTGCCTGGGGGACATTGGGGGCCCCTAGGGGGACGTTGGGGGGGGACATTGGGGGCGTCCCTGGGAGGGCCCTTGGGAGGACACTGGTGGGACATTGGGGGGTCCATGGGGGGGGCACTGGGGGAGTACCTGAGGGGATCACTGGGAAGTCCCTGGGGGGACATTGAGGGGATCACTGGGGGGTCCTTTGGGGGGCACTGGAGAGGTCCCTAGGGGGAAATTGAAGGGCCCTCGGGGAGACATTGGGGGAGACATTGAGGGGTCCCTGGGGGGACATTGCAGGGACATTGGGAGTCCCTGGGGGGACACTGGGAGGACACTGGGGAGTCCCTGCCGGGTGACATTGAGGGGACACTGGAGGGACAGTGGGGATGTCCCTGGGGGGGGTCCCTTCCCCGCGCTGTCTCGCTCGTCCGACAGGGGGCGCCGCAGGGCCAGCGGGGCCCCGCCCCTCTGACGTCACGCGCCCGCGCCCTCCCCGCGGCCGCGGTGCATTGTGGGCCCGCAAAGATGGCGGCGCTCAGCGCAGGGCGGACGGCGGCGGCGGTGAGGGAGAGCGAGACAGGGGGCGGTGAGGGGAGAGGGGGCTCGGTGATGGCGGCTGAGGGGACAGAATGAGGGGGGGAGATCGCTCGGAGGTGGGGGATGGGGTATGGGGAGTCGGGGGGGTCAAACGGGGTCTGACCTCGTCCTTCACCGGGCCTGACATCGGGTGAGCGCTGAGGGGGCAGCGAGGGCTGAGGGGGCAGTGAGGGCTGGGAAGGGTCAGACGGGGTTTGGGGGAGTCAGACAGAGTCTGGGGGGTCAGTCTGAGTCTGGGGGGGTCAGTCTGAGTCTGGGGGCGTCAGTCTGGGTCAGAGTGTGAAGTCAGGGCCGGGGGGGGTTCCATTTGAGGAGTATCAATTTTGGGGAGGGGAAGCTTCAGGCTGGGTTGGGGAGGGTCATTTTGGGGGTGACACTTTGGGGTTATTTTGGGGGTGGGGGGGACACCCCCTGAGGGGACTTTCTGAGCTCTGACACCCCTTCCCCGGCACCCCCAGGGCCTCCTGCGTGCCCAGAGCCTCGGGGTGTGGCGGGGGCTGGGCACCTCGGCCGCCCTCCTGCAGCAAGCCCAGGCCAAGGTGAGCAGGGCCTGAGGGAGGGACGGGGAATTTGGGGGGGAAAAGGAGGCTCAGGGGGGACCTTCCGCCCCCCCAAAACTCCCTGACAGGAGGGAGGGGGTCGGGAATAAGAGGAAATGGCCTCAAGTTATGCCAGGGTGGGATATTGGGAATTTTCTTTGCTGGGAAGGGCAGGGATGGAGTCCCCATGGTTGGGCGGGGGGTCTAACATCCCTGGGGATGTGGCACTTGGGGACATGGTCAGTGGTGGCCCTGGCAGTGCTGGGGGCTCTCTGAGGCTTTTCCTACCCAGAAAATTCCCTGATTCCATGGGAAATGTTGAGGGAAAGGCTCAGCCCTGAGTGACCTTGAGCCACTGCCCTTCCCTCAGCTTTGCTTCCTGATATTTAATCACTGCCCAGCAGCTCCATTTGTGCCCTGGACATTTGATTCCAGCCTTTTTAAGCTCCCAATTTGTGACTCTCAGCTTTTCTTGGCTCCCTCCCTCCTTCTTCCCCTGTTCCCACTGGAATTCTGGAGTTTCCCTGGCTCCTGGCCTTACTGGGGGAGGAATTCCCTGTGGAAATGGGAGATTCATGCTGGGATCAGCTCCCAGCAGGGAATCCTGGGCTGAGGAAAGCGGAAATGGAAGCAGGGAAGGGATGAGTGGAACATCCCAGGAATGATCAGCAAGGTTCTTCTGTGATCTGTGAGCACGAAAATGGGGTTTGACAAAATTCCATGAGATCCTGAGGGCAGGGAGCAGGAATGAGGGAATTCAGGAACACTGGGCTGTGCTGGGATAATGAGGAAATTGCTCCTGGAAAATCAAGAGAGGAGTCCCCATCCCTGGAAAGATTTGGATTGGATATTGGGGAAATTCTTCCTAAAATTTGCTGTCCAGAATTCCCTGAGATCCTGAGGGCAGGAGTGAGGGAATTCAGGAACACTGGGCTGTGCTGGGAACTCTCAGGAATTCCTCTGGGCAGAGTTTGAGGTTATTTCTGGAAGTGCTGAGGGAGGAAAAGGTCCCTCCGTGGTGTCGGGTGTGGTGTCACCCCCGGGGTGGCCTCAGGACAGGGACAGGGATTGACAGCTCAGTCCTGGGCTGAGTTTGGGGTGCTCAGGACAGGACTTGGAGGGGCTGGAGAAAAGAATGGATTTGGGGAAGGGTCTGGGGGAGCTGGGAAAGGGGCTCAGCCTGGAGAAAAGGGGGGTCAGGGGGACCTTGTGGCTCTGCACAACTCCCTGACAGGAGGGGACAGCCAGGGAACAGGGACAGGACAAAGGGACACGTCCCCAAGCTGTGCCAAGAGAGGTTTAGGTTGGATATTGGGAATTTTCCACCTGGAAATGGCTGCCCAGCACAGGCTGGAGTCCCCATCCTTGGAGGGATTTGTGGATGTGGCACCTGGGGACATGAACACCGCTGGCCCTGCAGGCCTTTCCCATCCCCAGCATTCCGTGACCCCATAACTGTGGGAATTCCGTGTCCCTGTGGGTGTGGGCACTCACGGGGGGTGCCTCGGCCCCAGTTGGGGGCTGGTTTTGGGGTGACCCCGCTGTGTGCCCGCAGTCCCACAATGCCAAGGCTGAGGGGACGTTCCAGGTGACGATGCTGCCGGGGGACGGCGTGGGGCCAGAGCTCATGCACGCCGTCAAGGAGGTCTTCAAGGTACGGCCACTGACAGGGGACACGGGCAGCGGCTGGCCCTGAGTGTCCCCAAGTGTCCCTCAGTGTCCTCGAGTATCCCTGTGTGTCCTTGGGTGTCACATGTGCGTCCTTGAGTGTCCCTGGGTGTCACATGTGTGTCCCTGTATTGTCCTGAGTGTCCCTGTGTGTCCCCAAGTATCCCTGTGTGTCCTTGAGTGTCCCATTGTGTCACATGTATGTCCCTGTATGTTCCTGAGTGTCCCTGTGTGTCACATGTGTGTCCCTGTGTGCCCAAGTGTCCTTGCATATCCCTTTGTGTCACACGTTTGTCCCTGTATGTTCCTGAGTGTCCCTGAGTGTCTGTGAGTGTCCCCAAATGTCTCTGTGTGTCCCTGTGTGTCTGTGAGTGTCCCTCTGTCCTTGTGTGTTCCTGAGTGTCCCTGTGTCTCACATGTGTGTCCCTGCGTGTTTGTGTGTGTCTCTGTGTGTCCCTTGTGTCCCTGTCCCCATGGGTGAGTCCTCATCCCTGGGAGGGTTTGGGTTGGATATTGGGAAAATTCCTCCCAAAAATGGCTCTCCAAGGCAGTGGGGGAGTCCCCATCCCTGGAGACATTGACCAGCCCTGTGCATGTGGCACTTGGGGACATCCCAGGTGGTGGCCTCGACACTGCTGAGGGGACCTCAGAGGGTTTTCCCAAGGGAAATATTCCATGATCCCATCAATGTCACTGTCACAATTCCATTGGCGCTGAAGCGACCCCCAGTTCCCTCCTCCCCGTGGCTGGCTCAGGGCTCCACGTGTCCCTGAGGCTGCCAGGTGACCGTGGGTGGCTGTGTCCCCACCCCAGGCTGGCAATGTCCCCGTGATCTTCGACGAGCACCACCTGAGCGAGGTGCAGAACACGGCGTCCGAGGAGAAGCTGGACCGGGTCGTGGATTCCATGAAGGAGAGCAAGGTGGCCCTCATTGGTGAGCACCTGGCCCCGTCCCTGGCACTGTCCCTGTCCCTCAGGCTGTGCCAGGTGAGGTTTTTGGGGGATACTGGCACAATTCCATGTCCTCATCCCTCTCCGTGTCCTGCAGGGAAGATCCACACACCCATGGAGTACAAGGGAGACCTGGCGTCCTATGACATGAGGCTCAGGTGAGGGAGGGCCTGGGAAATCAATTAATTCATCATTAATGAGTTATAGAGGAGTGGGAAATGCTGAGGGGTTTTGTGTGGGATGGGAAACAAAACCCCCTGAGGGGCCATCCATGGTCAGGAGCTGATCCTGCTTCCCTGGAAGCTCTGGAGGTGTGGGGTGGCCCTCAGAGCTTGTCACTGGGGAAAAAAAATCCATTAATTATTAATTAATGAGTTATTGGGAAGCCAAAGTGCTGAGGGATGATCCATGGCTGGGAGCTGCGTCTGTTGACTCATCCTGCTTCCCTGGAAATTCTGGAAATGATGGGGTGGCCCTCAGAGCATGCCAGTGGGGGAAAAAAAACATTAATTATTAATTAATTAGTTACTGGGAAGCAAAATTCCATGGCCAGGAACTGCCTCTGTTGACTGATGCTGTTTTGCTGGAAATTCTTTAGGTGGGTGAGGTGGCCCCCAGAACCTGTCACTGGGAAAACTCCTTTAATTATTAATTAATGAGTTATTGGGAAGCCAAACTCCTGAGGGACAATCCATGGTCAGGAGGTCTCCCTGCTTCCCTGAAAATTCTGCAGGTGGTGGGGTGGCCTCCAGAGCTTGTCAATGGGGGAAGAAACCCCATTAATTAATAATTAATGAGTTATTGTTAGCCAAACTGAGGGATGATCCATAGCCAGGAGCTGATCCTGCTCACCGTGGGGTCCTAGGACTTGGAGTGAACAGTCACTGGGAAAAAAAAAAAAAAAAACAAAACATTAATTATTAATTAATGAGTTTTTGGGAAGCCAAAGTGCTGAGGAATGATCCATGGCTGGGAGCTGCCTCTGTTGACTCATCCTGCTTCCCT